CTGAAATCCATAAAGTATGGCGATATTTTATGGTGTAGTAAAAGGGCGCGAGTTACAGACGACGGTGCTGCGGGCTGCATCTCTCGTACTATTTACTCGGTCTTGTAAATTTATGCTATACGCGATGTTGAATGTGTTCAGGTGTATACAGTGAATATCGAAGGGATATGTTTCCTGTGTCTCTGATTAATTGCGCGAGCTCGCCGGTTCCCCAAGGAAGTGCAGTGACCTCTCAAGTTTTCCGTGGAGCCGATCGACCGCTGTGTTTCCATGGCCTTCGACGAAGAACCTCTGACAATGACAGGTGTTCCACCGCGGTTAATCGTGACCGTGACATTCTTTTTTCTCATTGTTTGTTCAGAAAGATTCGTTTGAACGCTGCGAGCACCGTAATCAGTCATTCGCAATTTCGTTCGAATAAACGTCTTCATCTGTGTCTCTCGCGATGAAATACTACCGCCCACTGATCATTTACACGCGGTCGATTGAAAAGCTTTTCCGATGCGGAATTTTCGATAAAGACGTCGTTAACCCCGTCGAGTACCGCGATAAACTCTCGCCGGATTAATACCTCCTGTCAACCGTATGATAATTTACAATTGAAGTTATTACACGTCGTAGCAGAACGGTGATTACGCGTCCGTCTGACTGCTAGAAGAGCCATTGTTATTCACCGCGGCAGTATCGCGGACCGCAATAATAACAACGGTGATAATAACAATTTGCGCTCGCGCCGAAGTAACGGGGATCGTGCGAGACAAGAACCGGGGTCTCGCGATTCCACGACGCTTGTAACGCACGTGCTTCGACGGCGCCTCATCGCGAATGTTTCGGTAGAGAGAGTGCGCGCCTCCTCGGATGAATACATGTTAAGGTTGAAACTCTGCGATGAAAATGAGTCCTGCGCACGAAAGATAGCTCTTAGACACATGAAACCAGGATGAACTCTTTCTGTTTGAAAATTCAACGATTACGTATTATCTTGGAGCGTTCATTCGTAACATTTCGATTGTCCCTAATTTACTGTCTACGAGCGTCCTCTATTTGAAGCACGTTAATCCACGAAACGCACAGGAGCGAACCAAGGACACAGGAAGTGGATTAATGCGAGTCTCGTTCGAAATTCTTTCGAGAGACTCGCGTCAGTCCGTTCTCACAGGCATTCCTCCGTATGTAATCCAATCCAATTTAGCAGGAACGCGATATGAAAACTCGAGGCGGCCGGTATGCGCGCGTCGTAATCCTTATCTTCTTATCGGCCGACGCGACGGTGCAACGCGTGCAGTCCTTCGCTCCTACGTCTTTATCTTCCGTCGACTTTATAACACGTTACACGCCTCGTAACGTTTCGCCGCCTTTATAACGAGCTTATCCACGGCCAGGCGTGTCGCTTGTAAATTACTCGCGTAAACGGTGAAAGCACTTTTCCGGGGCTGCCCACGTTGCGTGTTTCGCTCCGAGGATGTGAAAACTCGTGAAAATGAGAGAAGTGGCCGTCTCGACGTTCCTCGAGAAACGCCATGCTGCTCGGAAGCACCTCCACGTCCTCGACGCCTGTATTAAATTCGACACCGGATGTCTCGCGTTCGGGCCTCGTCTTGCTACTCGAACAAAGAATTTCCAGGAAGTTGCTCGAACCGCTTCCACAATGAAAAGGTTCCGGAAAGCTTTCACCCTGGCGCGCGGAGTATTGAAAAAATTAAAGAGATAATAAAAAATAAATTCTTTCGATTATAAACCATGTAGTGCCAATGCAATCACGGGAAACAATTGTGTCATGCAACGATAGTTATCTACTCTAGTATCACCCTGTACGGTCCCGTGCTCCTAATTGCCATCCGTTGGTTTTACGGTACTAGCCGCCATTCACCGAGACCCGCCACGACCGCTTAGGGCTCCCGTTAAATTTACCAAAGCAGCTTCTGCTCATCCACGTTCTCGAGAATAGGGTGTCTGTGTCCGAACCAGTTTGCAGTCTGCTAGTTTCGAAGCGGTGAATCTCGGGTCCCGGCGCAGACAAAGGTAGCCACCGGGGGAACGCTTTCAAAAACGCAAAGTCCACGCGATTTTCTGCACGATCTAAGAATCGTTCCTGGAAAATAATCTACCGGTGTGGTCCGCTACCGTCACGCCACGTCTTGCCCCGCGACTATCGAAAGCGAACGCGTTTGCGTGGTTCCCGTTCAAGGATAATCGATCCGACAGTTGGATCCTTTCTCGGTTTTCACCTGATAATTAATAGTCGTAGAAACACGATCGTGTGGTCCTTTTTCGACGAGCAAATGTTGGATTTCAACGTAGAAGCAGCTATTCAACGGTCATTTGTCAAATTCTGCCTTCTACGGTTGCTGTTTTTCTGTCTGGTATCTTGACGATCAGATTTGATTCCTTCTTCGTACCCTCTTATTACTTACTCGGTAGGCTATCTTATCTTCGTGTTTTATAACTGTTCTCCGATGCCGGAGAAGCGTTCGGTCGTCGGCGAAGTTCTCGGAGAAGTCGCGACACGATCATAAGAGACTCGTACATTGGCTCTGAATAAGAATAAAGCTACGAGGAAATAAAGAAGGGAATTCGATGAATAAGGTTGGAACGGGGACGTGGGCGCGTGCGTTATTCATGACAAGACAGGAATCTCGGATCCGCAGATCGGCGGAATTCTGGCTCACGGATGGAAACGCCTCTTCTCTGTAAAGTTTCCGAGGAAATGGAATTCTTTATCGCCTCCTAGGAGGTTGCCTTTGCCGTCGATGGGCTCCCGCTTCGAGCGTCTGCTCTTTTCGGCTCTGTACGCTCGAATCTCATCTGGGAATTCGTGCATGAACAAAAGGGATGATCTTGCCAGGAATATCGTTTGTTTGCGTTACCTTATCGTTTCGAATGTTCGGGGGAGGGTGGGAGATTTTGGCGATTGCGTTTCAGATCGAATGCAATAAATACCGGAAGTTTCGCTGGTAGACGATCTTAGTCGTGGGACCGGCGAACTTCCACGGTAGTCGAAAACTCGAGGCACCGCTACTTTACGGGACACCTTTGTGCTTTCGAACAATATCGTTGGGTTAATCAGGCTCTTTGAGTAATCAAGGCACCGTCGCGCGAAGCGTGTGTATTTCGATCTCGGTTCGGTAAGGAACAGCGTTGGTACTTTGATCAACTTTCCACCCCCCTCGGATTCAGACCCCGGGAAGATCACGGAACTCTCGTTTCCTGGGAGTTAATGAAAGCTGACTATGTACTCCGTTGGATGTCTCGAATTCGGCCGGAGGAAATTCCTGCATGTATTCGCCTCCGTGATCGTTCGGTGCTCTTGTGCAGGGGTCTGAATAACACCGGGGGAGAGATAACCTATCTGATAGATCCTCGACTCCGCTTGGTTCTGCTCGGCGTCGCGGGGGCCATTCCCTCGCGAAAATGTCCCCATGGTAACGCCAGGGCGGAAGGAAAACCTCGCGGGCGTAAGTGCTCTTAACGCACCGGCAAGTCACGGGCGTCGTATCGTCGACTTTATGACTGCGACGCGGTCGGATCTTTATCCCGGATATAAAGTGTACGATAGAAATAATCATAATAATAACGCGACTTTATTACACAACTGAATCACAGATTAGATGTAGGTATCCGCAAGTAAATCCGGTATTTCTTTTCTTTAATAAGCCTGTCGCATAACTTCAGTCCGAAACATTCTTCGAGCCTTGTCTAACATAAATATGGCACAGAGATGCTCGAGAATGAGTATGAATATTATTGGAGCACTACAGGTTTTGCTTTTATAAAAGAAATAAATATTAAACTTGACGAAGAATAGTAGATTACTTATTGGTACGCGTAAAGTACGCGTACAGTGCGAAACAAAAGTATTCGTACAGTAAGATCTAAAAGTGATCTTCGTTTTTTTTTAAACAGAATGCTTGCTTTGTTACAGAGTAAAATTCGATGACGACAAATTTTGAGAAAAAACGCATCAAGAATACCTGCACTTTGTAATTGAACATGTACATATTACTTTAGACTTGACGCGTTGAATACGATGAGATAAAATGGGAACCATTTAAAGTTCCCGTTTCGTCTAGTCGCATACGATCAGCACACGCGTCTGACGTCGATAAGAAATTCCACCTGAACCCGGAGAACAAATTATCCAAGAGCTCCTCTTGTCGCAGAGTTCCGAGACCCGAACCGCGACCGGGGGACGAATCGTCTCCTAATTGCGAGGGAAAACTTCGTCTCGAATAAGTTGGATTAGCGGAGAACGTAAGAAACGAGTGATTGGAAAACGCTTCACGAGTCCGCGAACACATTTTGTTCGCCGGGGAACTTTGTGGAAACGTGATTCTGAAGTTGAGGGTAAACTTGGTCGTCGGCTCGTAACTCGAGGACGCTACGGGACCTGCAACTTTATATTTGACAAGGTTCCCGGTTGAACTTTGCACTTTGCCCGGGCCAGGTGTACGCTAACCGTCGGCAGACTGCGACCGACCATTCTCGAGGAGTCAGCGGTCGTTTGCACGCGGTTGAGTTATCCAGCGCCCGGTAATCAGCTTACCGCCGATCTGTAAACGGATTACGCCGGAAAACACGCCCGTCGGATCATACGCCCGTGATTTATGCGGTTGTCGGCGTAACACGCGCTTGTTCGCGAACCGATCGATTTCCGCCAACGATATCAATTTTATTTTTCTGCGTTGCCTCTCGACAAATCGATGAAATGGATTTCGTAAATCGAATCAAATTTTTTTACACTCGAAACATTGAAACGGTCACGGTTTTTAACGACACTTCGGTCTGAAAAGGTCAACGAAGAGAAGAATGAAAGATTCCTGGTCGATCGTCTCGGGATTCCCGTGGCGGGTTACATCGAGGTAGATTCTCGAGGCCGATCGTCGCCGATCGAACGCGCGTTTTTGCTAACGGATCGATTCAGTCCGCGGCCAGGAAGTTTCATTGTCAGCGTGCGGTAACGGTGAATTAGCGGTTAAAAGAAATGCCTTGTTTCGTTGCAGATGCTGCGCTCGCCGTACCGTCTTCGTCTGTATCTGGCCGGCGAGATTGCGCTCCGATTATGGTGAGTAAATTCTCTCTCTCCTTTCTCTTCGCTATCAATTATTTACGACACACAGTGCGGCGAGCCGTTGTTCCTTGGTTTGATTTATGATCGCTCCTCGATCGCTCCTTTCTTTGAATTCGAGCCCGAGAAGATAAAAAACCGATCGAATTTTCGTTTCCCCTCCACTCCCCCGACGATCTCCTGGCCGTTCGAAGAATGGTTCACGACCCGCGTGGTTCGACAGAAGCCAGTTAACCCGATGCGAAGAGGTCGGGGGATCTTTTTGATCTCGAGACAAAAGCTCTCGCCCGAACTAAAGCGCTAAAAGCCTGACTGTGGGTGGTTGCTTGGCGACCAAAAACTGCGCTAAAACGAATCGTCTCGCAACTCCGTTTCCTGTTAACCTTCCCATTCTTCACCCCCTACCTTTTCTTTTTCACCCTTTCCTACCCGTTTCTCACCTCGCTTCTCCGTCTCGTTGTTCGATAAAAGCTGTACGACCGTAAGAGCCGCGATCACCAAAGATCTCGAACGCGAACGGCACAGAATCTCGACTGACATTCGCTGTCTGACCCTCTCCGGGCGAGATTCCTCTTTTCTGGACGAAAGAATCGGACGGAATTGGATTTCTAAGCGAGTCTTCGCGATCGACAGGCTGCCGTCAGGCCGGTCGCCGATGACGCGTCTTCTTCTTCCTGTCCTCGCCTCGCAGAATGCGTACGGCCCGATATCTCGGTCTATACATTATGGAACATCCACACCCATCGCGAACACGGTCGTGCTTTATTATTCGTCGCGTCGCTCGCGATGATATCGCAATAATTTTCTGCTGTCGGGAAGTAGGTCAGCCCACCGGGGCGTTATGGAGCAGAGATGAACTTTTGAATCGCGTGTTTGTTTATGTGCACGACAATGGAATGTCCTTTGATTTACAATAATCGAGAATCGTGTATAATAGTATTTAGAGAGTAGGATGAGCACTTGTAAACGAATGCTTGATTTGTCGTATCGATAGTTGCCAGGTACCATTAAAGGCAGATTGATTGTTAGCAAGTGTACCTTATCAAATGTCGCTGTATGTATCATTACTAGTAATTCAATAAAGGATGGTCTGTATGCAGCAACGGCCGCTGTTCTTGAAGCTGATCTTGAACATTACAAAAGGAAAATGAGATGCAATAAAATGCGACTTAGGAAAAGAAAGTAAAATTAATTTAAATATGCAGAATTAAAGTTTGAGGTTGTTAAGCAAATTTGAAGAAAATTAAATCACGGATAACATGTTTCAACGAATGGAAAGACTCGAAAGTATGTATATTAACGGGAATAGCATTATCATAAAAATGTGATGTGTAGAAACAGGCAGACTGAAATTTAATAACGATTAGTACATATTGATTCTGGTTACATCAGAGCATCAAATGTATCTTGACTTTTTAAAGAAGATTATTATACACTAATTCTTAATACCTCAGCGACGTGGAGGAATTAATTGAACTTAAGAAGATCGGGAGACTAATGACGAGTTCAACGAGGTATTTAAGCTTTGTTGCAAAAGATGGTCGCGTGTTTCGAGTAGGTGTGTCGCGCGCCATGCAAATTGCCGTGCCGCGACATGTTCCAGGATTAACGACGATTCGCGTAATTCGGTAACCCCGTGCCGATTAATCAGTCGAACCGAACCTCCGCGAAACAACCGCGTAGGAGCGGAACCGACGCGCGTGTATGGTCGTGCAATTGTTTGCGCTTGGATTGGATCCGGCTGCAAAGATTAACGCGTCGGGCCGATCGTGGATAGACAGGTGTCGATTGGAAACCGGTGCACCTGTTCCATCGTTGTTGTTAGCTTCTTCCTGAATCCACCTTCCGCATCTCCATAATCGAACAACCAATCAATCGTTCGTAGGCGTTCGACATTCGCGTGCGTCAAGGGTATGCAAGGAGGAATCTATCGACGGTTTGGATAGCTCGATCGGTTGAGAGCGGCCGAACGAAAGGATCGGAGCTTGAATTCCGATGCAGTGAAATCTTCTGGAACTAACCTATCCCCAATCTAAAGAATTTATTCGTTCTTAAATCTTTCCAGACTACGCCACAGAATTCTTTCGAATGCTTCAGATTCGACTTTTACATCCTCTTCGTTGGTCTACCAGCAAAACGGTTTCTCAAACGACGCTAATGCAATTCGTGCCGAATACCAATGGAGTATAGAAATATTCGTATCTATTTACTGTACTCTTTGATTCTCGCGAAGCATTAATGCGAACGATTCGGCGAAAATCGTGACGAGGCTCGTAGCGAAATTTGTCAGGCCGCGGCGGTTCGTATCTCCATTGGAATAAATAGAGTGAACGGCGATGAGTGCATCTGCGCCGTACGCGATCGTAATCGAAATGGTTGCACCGGCATCGTTTTGTTCGTCTGGAGGTTGTCCGCGCTCGATTTACCGTTACCGCTCCGCGAGATACAGTAGAACCGAGTCGAGCCTCTAATCTTACGGCACCGTCGTCTAATTAAAAGCATCGAGAAAAATGGCTATTTGCTTCGAACGGTAGATTCGCCGATAGGCAACCATCTCGACGCCACGACGCGCATCCTAACGCGAGCTCCGGTACGGCTGAACTAGACGTAGTAGGCACGTAGTAAGTACGTAGTACGTAGTGGGCGCGCGTAGTATGCACTTGTTTCACGCACGATACAGTTACGGCCAGCTCAGCCGTCATGGCTCGTTACAGACTAGAAAATAATATCTATTACCGAGCAGGTGCGTATCCGAGTACTCTCTATTCCTGTAATTACCTGCAATTACAAAATCGAAAGAACCGCAATATAATGGAATTTTTATACGCTGCCAATCGAGCGCCGATTTAAATACTCGCATCAGTTTTGAGAACTTGAAATGAGAACTCGAATTCTCGAGATTCATACCCTCGAAACTGAAAGACTCTTTTTTTGTCTGTTACTCGTCGCGTACAGTGCAGGACGAACGTTTTCGGACCACGTTTCGATATATTTTCTCTAAGTCATCTGGTTGAACACATTGTTTGTTCGTTGAATATACCGTCAATTTGATTGTCTCTGCGTTGAGGAACTATAAATATTGACGCTCCATATAAGCCATCTAATTATTAATTATTAAAGTATTTCGAAAACTTTTGCCTCGTACCATTCTAGAATGGACAGATAGAAAATTCTCATGAAACTCGTCTTTTAGATTACAATTTATGCTTGTACATAAAACGCCCGAATACTTTTGTCCAGTTAATTGCAAGTATAGATGAAACTTATTCTGCATTTTGGAATATATTCATAGGATCCCGAGTGAATCCCGAAACACTCACATACCTACCATATTTCTGTCGATTCATTTGTCCGAGTAACTGAGATACAAGTGCTTTAGGACTTAAGTGCTTATGGATTGAATAAAAGTACGGGATACTTCCAGAGGGTAGATTCTGATCACGAAAATAATCATAAAAGTTTATATGCCCATATGTCCGATCTCACTTCATTGTTCAGTCAACTCCTTTACCAAGAGTACCTACTAAAGAGTAACCACGTATACACTGGTAATAGCAATAATAATAGTAATAATAATAATAATAATAATAATAATAATAATAGCATGTTGATGATAAGAATCGCGAGCATCAGCGGTGATCGTTGAGCTTGTCGATGCCGATAAGATAGTCCTCGAGGGACACGAGGTCGTCGATCGCGACGATAAAGCGTATAAACGAGATTCGATGGAAGTTCGTTGCGCCGGTGACACATTTCCCCAGGAAATATTGGCTGCCGTGCGCCAGTCGTCGAGCGGGGCAGAGTCTGAATTAAATTCGACGAGAAGTCTTGCTCGATTTAATTAAAACGAGTCGGAGGCCGAACGAGCACAAGGATGTCGAAAATCGGGTCTCGGGTCGAAAGCGAAAGCCGATGGAAATTCAGTGGCGCTCGAGCAAATGGCAAAGATGAGGAGAACCCGGGAATTAAATCGGTTTTATTCGCATCGGTAAATACGTGGTTACACAACGCAAAACGACAGAACAGAACGCAACACTCGCGAAACAGATACAAATACAGCACGGGCGCGTTGGAACGCAGATCCAAAGCGAGTGAACAAACGACGGAATCGCGTGCGGATCAACGATGCACTCTCGTTCGTCTTCGTTGCCGACAAAAAAAATACTCGAAATGGGAGGCTTAACGAAGCAAACAGTCGCGTAGATTTCATATTCTCTTGCCCCGGGTAGATTATTGCCCCGACAGATACAAAAGGACCGAACCGGAGCCTCGTTTGCATTGTAAGGCCGCGGTATTGTGGCGGTGGATCGCGTCGCATCGCGTTCTGCCCCACTTTCGACCCCTCTTATTCCTCCCTTCGTGTCTTATCGTTCGTTGCCATCGAGCTTACAAATTAATAAGGATTGTGTTTGCTCTGGGAATCACGACCTTGTGCCTCTCTCCTGCGTATCGGATCGCGATGGTACGAGCTGTTTGCGCTCGTTCCCTGCGAATCGATCGATTTATCTTCATTTCGTTTTATTCAATCTCTTTATTGCGCCGATACAATAACACTTTTATAACAGTATTACAAAGCGCGATGCAACGAAAGGATAAAAACATAAGGCTAATAATTGTTAGGTAATGTCACGGTGAATGGACGAGATTCCGTAATTATTGTTTTACAATCTAACTGTCTCGTGGTAGGCTATAATCACAGTTTTGAGTGATTTATACAAACTTAGATCCCATTCCATTGTCCACTTTGTTCGTCCTAGGAAGATGAATTGTCTGTAAAATAAAATTGTGAAATCGCGCGTGTCGGACTCATCGAGGCAGAGGCGCGTGAAAGAACGCGGCACGTCGGTTCCGTTGGTATATGTACATGTACTTACCTACGCGTCGTGTTTTCCAACGAAACATCGATTCCTCGCGGTGAAAAGCTAGGCGTGTCTCGCGAGTGGAAAGCACTCGAGACCGAAGAGGCCCGCGATCGTCCGGGCCTCCTTCTCTTCCCG